TCTGTAAAAGATCAATTTTTAATTTAAAAAATATTTAAAACGTTTATCTAACTGCTTTATTTTATACGACTTTTGTCTCTAAACTTGTTCTGTAAATCTCTTAGAGTGAAATCTCCAAAAGACTGAAAATTAAATCAGTCTTTAAAAAAGATTGAAAATATTTTCATCCAGAAAAAGAATTCTTGGAATGAGATGTTACTCGTTTGAAGTGAGATTTACTCAAAAAAAAAAAAAATGAAATTACGCTCCCTCTTTTAAAGTAAAATTTTTCTTGAAGAGAATCTCATTCCAAAAAAATAAAAATCTGCTACTCTTTTTCAAAAACTGGCTCAAGTTTCACCCTAAAAGATTTAAAGGGTATGAACCGCACTATGTACAAGTCTTTACCGTAACTATATTTATTTTTTTATCGTTTAAAATGTACTTTAATTGTCAAAGTTTATCATGTATTAGCTTGAAATGATCGTGAATTTATTTGGTATTTTAGAATTTTATTTTTTAATGAAATTTTTTGATGAAAGGTAAATTTTTGTTGCAGCTGAAATGATATTCAATTTAAAGCTCGAATAATAAAGTATTGTAATCTGAGAAACTTCGGTGATAGTAATTTATGTCGTTTTGTTTACTACATTACACAGATCACACATTTTCACTACACAGATGAATGCGCGTTGCGGATCAGGAAACGGAAACATCTCTGATATTACATTATTAACGAAACAACATACTACCAGCTGAAAAGGCATTCTGATCGCATGCAGTCATGAAATGTACAATGGCATACGGTGTATCGGATAATAGAACTGATATATCTGTTTTAGAATAACAAAATAAATATGAAGTTATAATATAATACCAAAAATCTATTTTTTCATTTATCTTATCATAAAACAATTCTTTTAATTTATATATAATATATTCTTAATTGTTCAAATTATGTTTTATCTCATATAATAATTCTTAAAAAATTACCTACGTTCAGAATTTAATTGACAGACTGAAAGAATTGACATAATTTTCTGCATTATTTGCACATCATATCTTTATATAAATTTCTTAAAATATATATTTCTTAAATATATAACAATATTAAACATATATAATATTATTATAATATTTACAATAATTTTACATTTAGACGTGTCTGCAAAGTACTAACGAAAACTGTTAAGAGCTGTATTGAATTATTTTGTAACAGTGAGCAACGGAAATATCTGAGAAGTCATACAATATTAAACGAATGCAAAAGTTTCAGCAATATCGGATTATGTAGGATTTCAATGATAAACTCCGACGCGGCGCGACGCCTTGGCCCGACAGTAAAGCCAGGCACAATCAATCATTAAAAACAGATGGCAGTTGTAACTTGCAATGCTAATGAATGTCTTATAGATAAAAGCGCATTTTCCCAAGCGACAGACGTACAATGAAATATATTCTGCAACTCGGAGATACAGTAACCGTCACTACGCTTTTCTATCATCTCTCTGGATAGTATTCATCGTTGAATTAGAAATTAGACATAAGAATATTCTATTATCTAGTACTTTATAAATACTAATATTATATTATATATATTTTTATATAATAATATCTATTATTATCTATTATTTTATTAATGTAATCTTTTGTTCAAAAGAACTGATTAGTTTTATCAATAACTGTGATATTATATCAGTAATTGATAAAATACATCAGTATAGTTAAATAGTTTATTGGAACACTAATTAGTTCGTTTTTTTAAGAGGGATTTCTATTAATACTAGTATTTTTTTTATAATAATATATTATTGCGTTTCACATCACGAAGAATATGCTTGTTCAATGTCTGACAGACATATATTTTGTGCATATTGCGCTCATGTCAACACATCTCGCATTCAGAATAGAAAAATAAGTAAATTTGAAAAACAAATCTTAATTACGGTAGGAAATAGTTACGAAGGTAATGCGACTTCCTGTTAACGATTTGCAGTCTATATCTAATGGATGTGAAGATGTATTTGATATAATTTCTATTCGGATGACAATTATTGAAATTTCCGCAGTTTTGTGAAGATCTGATTCAACTACGAAGTATTGCTAAATTTATGATAATATATTGCCGTTATAGGTATAAACTATGAGGTAACCATGGGGTAAATCCATCCAGCGAAATTAATGTGTAAATTTCCCATATATTCGAGCAATGAAATTGACTCACGTTAAATATTACATATCTAATTCACTCCGGAAAATCGTGACTCAAGTTGCAAGAAAAATATGTATTGTACGGTATAAGCTCATAATGCGTGATTACTTGATTTTTTCGAATAAATATATTTAAAAATAAAAAATCGTATGATTTGATGAAAAAAGAAATATTATGATTTCTTAATATCATATATTTGAACAGAATGATAAATATTTCTTTTATTTATCTTATTAACCATCCATAAAATGATATTTATAATGTCAAAAATGTACAAAAATTTAAATATAAATCTAATAATACTCGCACATTTATAAAGTTAAGTTTAGTTGTTGTTTTATTTCAATATCAATTTATATTTAATCACGAAATAATAATAATACACGCTTAAAAACGTCAAAGAGATAAAGGAAAGGTATATAGAAGAATTAAGTGGAGCGCGCGGAGATGCTTCACAAGAGAAAGCTTTTCTTGTTAGTGTAGTTGACTAATGTAAAGAAAATTTAGACATCTCTGTCACTAGCGATTGCATTGCAACTCTCTCTCTCTCTTTCTCCACAAAACTCTGATTTTGCGGTAATAAAACAAATATTACTGTATAACGAACTTCGAGAAAATTCACAGTTTATAGTAAACATACAGTGTAACTGCGTTTAAATAAATATTGAATTACGCGAAAATGGATTGTTTATAACTCACTGTGAAAAATACGAAATAAGCATCAAATTAATCAGAAAATATACATATAATCCAAAATAATGGATATCAATTTTGCAAATACTGATTAATTATAATGTTGCTTTATAACATATTGCTACTTCCATTTTCATTTGTTTGGACCATTAAGAACCGGTTGTTTCCACCTTCGAATAAATTATGAACTGTGATAATTTACCTAATGAACAAAAGAAAACGCAAAAGAGAAAGGAAAAAAGAACGAGAATGAGAACGAAAACGAAAAAATGAATAAATTAAAATTTACCGAAAGATAAAATAATCTAGTCAAAAAGAAACTCTGCGTAGCTAACAGTATAAGCCAAAGCCAAATAATAATTCATTTCAGTTTTTAGATCAATTAAGAGAAATAAATTTATTTTCGATCAAAAGCTGATCTTTGTACTTAAATATCTCAGTGTGAATTATTTATATACATATCTAATTCTACAAGCCGCGAGCTGAAATCTTTTTCAATCTTGAAATGCAAACATGAACTAAAGTAATATCACACATTAAATTGACAAAGCAATTTAATATTATAATATTATTAATAATTTGATGCTTATACATATAAACATCTTAAGAATTATGAATAATTTATTGCAAATGAAATATTTAAACACTAAGATCTATTTTAATCAAAAATAGATTTATTCTTCTTAATTAATATATTTTCGTTGATTTCGAATTATAACTACTCAGTTCTTGGAATAAGGAAACATGTATACGTGGTTTGGAGAACAGCTCAAAACCTTCACGGAATCGGAACTTGTGAATCGTTACACAAATATGTTGAAAAGCGATACTAAGAAGATATATATATATATATATATATATTTAAA